GCAAATCTCTTAATGGACAATTTTTCTGCCTTTCATGTTGGATCTGAACTCTGGATTAGAAAGATGAAGGAAAAGAAAATTTTTTAGTGTTAAGCAGTCAGCCTCACCCAAATTGGGAATCCTGTTCATCATCCTGTCTTCTACAGTGAATAAGAAAGAAATGCAACTAGGTGTACTTTGTGTTCCTGATCACAGTTCAAATGACAGAGAAGGTAGGGTCACCAAGGATGGCCTTTGATTTGAATCTGCCCCTGCTCCTGCCTGTGCACAGGAGTGGCAGTTTGGAAGCTAAGTGCACATCCTGTTACTCCAGCTTAAATTATGTCAGAGGAACAAAGGATCTTTCTGCTCCGGTGATATCACACCAGAGCTTCCTCAATTCTATTTTTAAAAATCTCTACACTTTCTCTGACATATAGGCAGAAAGGAATGGTTTCATAAGAATCTTTAACTGTGGCCTCTGCCCTATCTTTAGCCCTCCTCCAGTGAGGCTGCACTATGTTGAGATGGGATGTCCGGCAAATTGGCCACACTCTAAGAAAACGAGAGAAAAGGCTGGGGATTTAGCTTAGCGGTACCACACCTGCCTCACAAGTACAAGTTTGATACCTGGTACCAAGAAAAAAGAAAGAAAGAAAGAAAACAAGAGCAGTCCCATTTATCTGCATCAGCCTTCAGCTACAGCAAACTCTACATCCACTCATTCATTTAGCCAATGCTTAGTGCCTGCTGTGTGTCCGCCACTCCTGCAGGCTCTAGGAAATGAAGGAGACAAACTTCCTGATCCTCCATAACTTTATCTTCTGGTGGGATTTTTAAAAGATTTACAACAAAACTGTAAGAACTGCCTTACCTAGTGTTTTACTTTTGGGTTCTTGCCTCCTGGCTACTCTTCCCCCTTCCCTGTCATAAACCAAACCTTACTTCTAATTTTCTACCTTCTCACACCTCAAACTAAGTTTTACACATAGCCCCAAGGAATCTGATAGAACTGCATCAGACATCTCTGGGGCCATGGCTCTCAAACAGTGTGCAAAGGAAGCACCAACAGGGCTGTTAAAGTCAATTCCTGAGCCCTACAACCACAGATTCCAGTTCTTTAGGTCTGGGTGAGCCTCCAGAGGTAAGTCTGACTCTTCATGAGGTACTAAACTGTAACTAAAAAAATGACCTTTCTTCATTATATGTATATATTGTTACAGTGCCCCACACACACACACACAAAGAGCAGCGTGGTACCTATTCCCACCTGACAGAGTAATTCTGACAAAATGGTCAGCAGAACATCTTGGCAGTCCTGGGTCAGGAGTTAGAGGGCTGCACATCACAGACATCTGGCCTTTTCCCTCATGGTCATTTAGGTGCTCTCTGGTCATTTAGGATTTGAGTTGGGTATGCTCAGAGTGGCATCTGCTGTATGAGTGTCCCTGGGATAGAAGGTAGGAGCTATTTGTATGCTAAGCTTGATGTGGCTTGTATTTACATAGATTTCTTTGTTCCTCAGTCCTTACATTGAGCTGAGGTTTTCATACTAAAGTTATGCTGTGGGAAGTGAAAACTGGAACTTTTACCAAAGTTTTGCCAGAAGCCCTTAGAATTCTGACTCTTGTAATCATCATTCTGGAGATGCAGCCAATGTGTTTGACACTAGTCACAACAGTGAGCACTTTTCAAAAGTAGGTTTGCTTGGACCTCTGGCTCCCCCAAACCTACCCCTGGAGTCTCAGAAACCCCATGATATATGCTCTCTGGGGCCTCTTATACTTTCACAAACAGGAAAATCATGCCTCCGAGGGAGCTTTGCTCACTTTAGAAAACTTACAGCCTCAGACAGATTTCCTTTATATTGACCTGAAATCTGCCTCTTTATAACTTGCAACCACTGATCCTAATTTTAGTCTGTTGAGCTACAAAGAATATTTTGATGTCAGAACTTGAGAGTGATTCTTCCTTTGGTTGTCTTCTTCCTGGGCTAAATCTTTTTTTTTTTTTCTTGTGGTGATAATGCTGGGGTTTAAACTAGGGAATGCTGAGCTATATCCTTAGCCATTTTTATATTTTGAGACAGGATTTTACTACATTCCCCAAGGCTGGCCTTAAATTTGTAATCCTCCTGCCTCAGCCTCCTAAGTAGCTGGGATTACAAGGATATGCTACCATACCAAGTTAAATTGACCTTTTTATTACCTCTTTCTCTCACTCAACTTGACTTTCATATCTGGTCACCCTCTTCTGGATGCTCTCAAAACTATACACATAGCTTTTCTGATGGCCAAAATAACAATAAAAGCTGCAGAATTTGTAATCCATGTAGTTACCTCTAGAGAAGAGAAGGTACTGAATCTTCAAATATTGCAAAGTCAAGGGGGAAAAAATTAACTTTTCCGTTGGAAGACAAAATGGCCAGATTCTCTTCAGTTAGATTCAGCAAATGTGTTCTGTTACCTACTATATATCAGGACCATCGTGTTTGATTCTCATGTCCTTGTAGGTGGGTCACATTACTCCCACTGTGTGGACATGTTAAGCCTCAGCTAAACTATGCAGATTGTGTAAGTTCTTACAAATTGGAAGCAACAGGGCCAAAAAATTAAAGGTGAATATGCGTGACTTCAAGTTCATTGCTTCCATAAGTAAATATCTACAAGATCAATCCAAGAGGCAATATAGGATTTTAGGTGTTATCTCACTGGAACCAATCAGCTGGGTTTAAATCCTGGCTGTACAGCTTCCAGTAATAATGACCTTTCACAAGTTACTCCACCTCACAGGATAATTACAGATGACTAAATGAGTTAATACATATGAAGTGCTCAGAAAAATGGCTACCACATGGTAAGCACTCAAAAAATACTAGCTATCATCATTAACTTTATTCCTGATGAAAGTGAATTCAATACATTAATTTTCTGTTGCTGCTGTGACAAATGACCACAAACCTAGTTGCTTCAAACAATATGCATTTATTATCCTACAGTTCTGTAGATCAGAAATCCAGCATCCTCCCTGAGCTAAGGCCAGGTATCAGCAGGCTGCATTCCTTCTGGAAGCTCTCAGGGAGATCTCAGTTCTTTACCCATTCCAGCTCATAGAGGCCACTCAGCTCCTGGTTCTTTCCTCTGCCTTCAGAGTCATCAATGTTGAGTCAAGTCGTTCTCATGCTGCCATCTCCCTGCATATTTTTTCTCTTCCATGCCTTTCTTCTATTTATATGAACCCACTCAGATAATCCCAGATAATATCCCAATCTCAAGCTTAGTGGTTTAGCAATTTTGATTCCATCTTTGCTTTGTAACCTAACAGGAATTAGAACATGGACATCTGGGGTGGGAGGCATTATTCTGCCTGCTCCCATCTCTGAACATAGCCCTTAGGATCAGACAAGCTTGTTTACCTACCCAGCAAAGGAAATGTTAGGACAGGAAGGCCTTTATCAAGCACAGCATCGTGTATTTTAACTCAGACTCCCTCCAGTCCTTCTCCCTCTCCTCACATATGCAACAGGAAGGTTGACGAGGACTAGGGTGGGAAGTACTCTTGGTTATCCATATATCAAACAGAAGGACTTTTTCCTGGGAAGTGCACCTCAGGTCTCTCTGGAAAACCGAGTAAAGGAGAACAAGCATTTATTTCTGATGCAAATCAACTAAAGTGAAATTTTGCCTATAGACACACTCAGTGATTAAACAGGGCCTTGTGCAAGCTAAGTACACTGCGCTCTAACCCCAGGCCCACCCCAAATGGAACTTTTTACTACAGTTAAGATTAGAAGAGCTTGTTCATTGGGCTGATTTAAGGATATTTTTGCCACAGATGGCAAATGCCATTTGGCCTCCTGTCTTGTGCACACAGCTGGAGTGCTGGCTTCCATCTGAGTCCTCTCTCATATGCACTGGGTCCATCTGTGGAGCATCTGAATTGGTGCTTCCTCATCTTTGAGGTGGAAGAAAGATTCCTGTCTAGTTCACAGGTTTCCTCAGAAGATTCCCACCTACAGGGAAAGAAATGTGTCTGAGAGACTTTGTTGTTTTAGATGGGGTTGGGGAAGCATTGGTTGGGTGGGTCCAGCTGTTTGAGGTATCAGCTAACAATTATTCCTGGTGATCTTCTGGCACTATTTTCTTCCTTTCTTCCTTTTTTTTTTTTTTTTTTTTGATCCTTATATAGTAAAGACCTAATAACCTAGGCACTCAGTCTCTGACCTGAAGTTTTGAACTGGCCCAAGAAACTGTTCTGAGTGTATTGTTCACCCAAAACAGACACAGCTCTGAGGATAAGGAACCTATGCTGTCCTCTCAGCTAGGATTGGTGTTTGGGAATTTCTTAGCTTGGAATCTTTCCAACAAAGAACCAGCCCATTCCAGTGAGGAAATAAACTCTGTGACCAGGTCAAAGTGGGCATGTGCTCCCTACATGTCTCCCTGACTACCTTGCTCCCCACATTCTCTAATGGCCCCCTCTCCCCACAGTTTTACAAAAGGGCATGTGCTGTGCTTGCCCTGTGAGCTAATAGAAACACAGCTTTCGTTTACTCCCATGTCCATTTTCTTTCCTGGTTAGCCAGCTAGTCAGAACACCTGTGGGTGGTAGATATGTTTAAAGCAGTGGTAAACTAGGTTTCAAATGCAACATATGGCAAGTTATCCCTGCTACCACATGTGCAACGTGAGGCAGGCTTTGCTGGCTCTCACTCACATTTTCCTGGCTTTGTTCTGTGACCATTTATTTGGAGTGTAGCAGCCTGCTAACAGAGGTATTCTGGGTGATTATGGTCTAACACTCATGTACCACCCTTCTCCTGGAATACTCCTTTGGCATTTTGTAAATAGTTTCAGAGACAAAGTAAAGGATGCAGTTACCCAAAATAGCCAGTCTGCCAACACTGAAATCGAAAAATATGTGTGTTGGTGACATTCAATTTGTATCTATCATGTTGAGGATTGTGCATCTAAGTGTTCAACAGTTTTTAAAGATTTGATTGAGATTGGATGCATGACAAATTTGAATTGTTCTTTTGATTTAAACAGATTATTCAAATTTAAAAAGTTCTTAAAGGCAGTTAGATGTGTGATTGAGACATTGGGCAAATTTTCAAACTATTGTCCAATGATACAGAGCACATGTAGTCTTCTTTAAGGCACTTCATCTAGTTAATTTTTCTTAGTCTCATGCTTGGTTCCTCCCTGTCCTATTCTTCACCCTCTCCCCATCTTTCTACTGGGACTTACCAAGAACAGCAGAATAAAATGTGAGAAATTATGATCAAACCAGTTACTATATCCAGTATCCCTGGATTTTTAAATAGAAACCCAAGACATAAATAGACCTCTAATTTATTATTTCTTTATAATCAAAATGGGCACACTGCCTTCAAGTTTCCTCCACCTCTGCCATAGCCCCTAAACCAGGCTTCCTCATGCTTGTGTGCTACATGTGTGTCTCTTAGGAGTTCTCTCTCCAGTTCACTGCTCACCATTAGGACTGTGAATTGTCAAGACAGGAACAGGCAAAGGAAGGCTTTCACACACTGTTCTTCAAACTTGCCTTAGAGACCTGAAGGACCTGAGAAATCATCCATGAGCAATGAGATCTGCCAGCTCTGCTGTCATTCAATTTCATCTCCTTTTCCCTCTTGGCAATGAGTGAAGCTCTGGCTAGAATTGGCCACTGACAACTCTCCTCCCTCTTGCTTTGCATCTGTCTGGATAAGAGTGCAAATAGGCAGCATCTGTGGGCCAGCAGTTCCTAGTCTGGATGCTACAGAGAGTGTTTATAGTCTGGCACATGGGATCTTCTGTATGATTTCCTGTGAGGTGGAAGAGGGCCATCCTGCAGAAATAAGACCAATAGCCATGAAGTTTCCAATAACTGTAGACCGAAAAGTAGAAAAAAAGCTGCTCCTCTTTGTTGTATGAAAGATGCAGTCTTGTCTCCTCAGTTCAACCTCCATCCAATAACTGAAGATCTAAAAATTTCCAAATGGTGCCAGATACTGTGCTATGTTCATTACATAGACTACCTTACTTTATCCTCACAAGGACAGTTTGAATTAGATCCTTTTCTTTTTCATTTAAACATGAATTTAAAAGCAATGAAAAAGAAGCTTGAGAGAACAGTTCTAGTACATGGCACTTAATCTTTACAATATTGCCTCCAATTTTCAGTATTCCACTGAAAGAAGGTTGATAAAATTATAGTTTGAGGTCATGTATTAAGAGCTATACCCTCATTTTTATTTTTGGTACCGGCAATCGAACTCAGGACCTTGTGCTTGCGAGGCAGGCAGCTGTACCACTGGAGCTAAATCCCTGGCCCACGCCCTCATTTTTCAATAGCTGTGGGGCCAAGCTGGGACCCCTTCTCCTGCCATCCTCACTGATGCCCATGGCAACCAATCTCCATGGTGCTTCCTCTACTCACTCATAGATGAGAAGTAGGGTCACCTTCCCAAGTTAGATTGCAAAGGATTAGAGGCCATTAAGGTCTCTGCTATAGAATGAGGTAATGCAGAGATGGAGAATAGGAACTATCATATGTTTTGGCTTTTTTTGTTTGTCTTACTTATTTTTTCATTAGTATGTTTGTAGTACATAATATGTACATTCCTTGTGGGGAGTTGGTACATAACACATCTTAATTCTTTTTTTCATCCCCTTCCCATTTAAGATCTGTCTCTCTACTTCCTGTTGTCTCTTTTTTAAAAATGATTTATACTTTGGGATTCCCATATTAGAGAAGTTATGTGAGGGGCTGGGGATTTAGCTCAGTGGCTCCACCGCCTGCCTCTTAAGGGCCAGGTCCTGAGTTCAATCCCCAGTACAAAAAAAAAAAAAAAACAAGAAGTTATGTGATATTTAAGCTTATATGTCTGATTTTTTTTCATTTAACATTATGGTCTCAAGGTGCATCCATTTTCCTACAAATGACTCAAGTTCATCTTTCATTATAGCAGAATAGTACTCCATTGTGTAAAAATAACCACATTTTCTTTATCCATTCCTCTGCTGATATATAGGCCACTTCCAAGATTTAGCTATTAAGAATTGTGCTGTTATAAACATGAGTATACATGTATCAGTGTAATATGATATTTACTTTTTGTTTTCTATTTGTTTCACTAGTCTTTAAGTGAATATTTTCTAGCATAATATTTAAATTTCTTCAATTATTTTTTTCAGTGTTTTTAAAATGTATGTCCTTAGTTATTCTAGGAGTTATAATATTGATCATATCAGACTCTACTTCAGTTTTACATTCTTAATTTCAGTAAGATATACAAATGTTCCTCCTATATAATTCTTTCCCTTCCTACATTTTTATGCTACTGCAGTGGTACACTGGTTCATGAACTTAATTTGTTTTACAGTTTTTTGAGGAAGATGGCCATAGTTGTGTTTGTCACCCAATGTGGAGTTTGTGAATAGAAGCAAAATTTTGTTGAATGCTTATAAGAACCAAATTGATTGTGAACAGAAGTGTTCGTGAACCAAAGTATTACTGTATTTGTATAAACAGTATGTCTATGTATGTTAAAAACCCAACAATGGCCGGGAATTTAGCTCAGTGGTTTCACCGCCTGCTGCGCAAGCGCAATGACCGGAGTTCGATCCCTGGCACCAAAAAAAAAAAAAAAAAAAAACCCAACAATGTATTATCATTACTACTTTATGTAGTCTAAAAAAACTGAAATGAAGAACAAATGCATATTTATGTTTATAGATTCCATTTGTAACCTCCAATTTGCTGATTTGTTACCATCTTGTATGATTTCCCTACTCCAATATAATTTTCCTCTCACCTACCTCCTTTTTACTATTATCAAATATATTTCAGTGTGCTACACATCCCACAATACAATTATATACATTATTTTGGTCAATTTATTTTTAGTTAAGAGGAAAAATCCAAATATACTTATACTATATGTCTGGCTATAGATGTCTTTGTGTTTATCTCATTTGGAGTTTGTTGATTTTCTTGGCTTTGTTAATTAATGTTTTTCCTCAAATTGGGGAATTAACTAGTTATCATCTCTTTGAACATTTTCTAGTCTTTTTACATGTATGTTATTGTGCTTAGTGGTGTGCCATATTCTGAAGTTCTGTTTTTCTCTCTATTCTTCAGAATGTATAACTATTTAGCAATGTATCTTCAAATTCATCCATTCTTCTGTCTGTTCACGATTGCTGTGGACCCCTAAGAAGAATGTTTCATTTCAGGTCTTTACTTTTCAACTTTATTTGTGTTATTCTTTTGATACTCGTTGATGACAGAATATTGTCATCATGCCTTTAAGTATACCTTCCTTTAGTTCTCTGAATGTATTTATAATAGCTGCTTTGATGTCTTTATCTGCTAAGTCTAATATCTGGGCCTTCTAAAAACACCTTCTGTTGTCTACTCTTTTCCTATGTATGGACCACAGTTTTGATTCTTTGCATTTCTTCAACTGTTTTGTTAACTGGACATTTTACATAATATATCATAGCAATTCTGGATATTTATTTTCCTCATCCACTCCATGTCCCCCTTTCCACAAGTTATTTCCTTATTTACTTAGCCAGACTAGCTCAGTGAGGTTTTTTCCCCCAGTGTACATCTGTTATTCCTCAGAAGGAACGCCCTTGGGTTATGAGTGACATTCTTTTCATTTTTTCAATGACATCATTCTTCCAAATGACTCTTTTTGCCTTTTTGGCTGATTGTTTGTGGCTGATTTGTCTCTGCTATCATCACATACTGCTTTTAGTCTCCACTAACCCCCACCCACCCCCCCCCCCACCCCCCGTGGTTTGATCTCATTAAAGTCTGGCCCTTTTGTAAGAGTAAACCTTGAGCTAGGCCGAAGTTGCCCCGACCCCAGGAAACTCTGTTAAACTTTCAGCTGCTCTACTAGGCCATCATGGACTATCAGCCTCATCTTAATTGCTCCCCACCAAAATTTTTATTGTTTTCTTAGGCTTGAACTTTCCCATTCTCTGTTCCAAATAAATGCATTCCTCTTGGAAGAACTATGGAGCTTTGCATTCTTACAGCCTGTCTCACCTCCAGACCAGACCTCTTATCATTGCTCCAAAACTGCTGCAGGGACAGCAGCCTGCTTTTCTTTGAATGACAACACTGGTCCACAAGAGATTTGCACAGGGTAACACTCGGTCTTCTTGGCTTGCCTTTCTCCACAGAGAACCTTCAGCTGATAAGTGAGATGGGTGAGAGTGAAAGGGGCCAGTACTACACACACACACACACACACACACAGAGGCCACCATACTACTTACATTGAATTAGAACTTTTACAACACATGGGGAGAGGGTAGAAGTGTTGGAAGTCTGCTCTTCCCTGAAAGACCACAGCCCTAGATTTGGAGCTGTGGGGGAAAAGGAACCCTATCTTCTTGGCCATACTCACCTAGAATACAGCTTCCATTATACTGAACAAAAAAAGTTTAGGGGAGAGGTGGTATCAGGGAAAGGAGCCAATTATGGTTGTGGTTCAGATGTCGTAGATTGTCTCTGTTCTTACCAAGAGTTGGCAAGTTTTCCTAAGAAAAATTTTTAATTTGTACATATATTTGGACAGTTTTCAGAGGCTCTAAACCACTGGATTTTATAGTTTTCACCAGTTATAGTTATTTCACTGGTGAGAGGATCCATGGATACTATTATACTGACATACTAGAAGTGCTTCCCTGGTATCATCTATAATTGTTAAAAGGAGCCAGTCCCAGCACCCAGAAGGAAACTCCCCTGCCGCTGTTCCATGCTCCTAGGGCAGAGAAGCTGAGCCAGTCCCAGCACCCGAAAGGAAGCTCCCCCACTGCCATTCCACGCTCCTAGGGTAGAGAAGGTGAGCTGCGCGAGTGCCAGAAGCACCCACCACCACCACCACCCCCAACACCCCAACAGCCCACCCCCAACCCAGTGGAAATGAGAAGATGCGTAAACAAGCCTCAAAAAAAGATTTCCGGATCACCTACAGCAACGCCAAAGGGAAACAAGATGGAACAATCTGATACTCAACCACTTGGACTCTCTGAACTGGCAACAAAAGAGGATCTGGGAAAAATGAAATCAGAAATAATT